TAATTTAAAATTTAAAAAAGATGTGTAAGCAGCTTTTAATTCCCCTCTTTTAGTGGCAGGACATGCCACTGGAGGCTTCAGTTTGTTTCTGAAGGTTCAACAACGTGACGTTTCTACATGCTGTATTAAATCTGGCCTGGGAGATCTTCAACCATCACATTTTCCAGTATTGCCCTTAATGTCGGTGTTAGCAGCTGTGTCGACGAAACAAACAAGTTTTGGCTTGGAGCGCAGACACTTACCCAAATCGGATGACAATAAAATCAATCCTAATGCCATGATGCGCCTGTTCTTAATGGAGGAGGAACTGTAAATCAGAAGCAGAACGGTGCATCCTGTCTTTTCAAGGTGTGAAAATTGCTCTTTGCGATCGGCTCAGCATAAACAAAAGCCCCCAGATGCAAAAGGATAAATTATTTTAGCTCTATGGTTGATTTTACTGAATATTTCTTGTCAATATGCTGGTTTCAAATTGAAGCTAAAGTTAACAGCGAGCCTTTAGTTCAACAGCAGGCCTGACCGGAGTAGCTGAGTAGTTTATGGGTAAATCATAATAAAAATAAATAGGTAAAAATGCTCATTATTTGAAGCCAAGTTTTGACCAAAAACTGCATCTCTGCCTCGACTTCCACTTTGATTAATTTTTTTTCCTGATCATTAAACCGATCAGATCTGTATTCTGTTGTGTTGCCGTATTGTTTAGAGTCGATGCTGCCGACTCAGTCTGGCTATATATCAACCTGTGTTGTTTTGTAGTGTAAAAATATGTATGGCTAATCCCGGCAGCCTCTGTTCAGTTTCTGTTCCCTGCAGCCTCGTGGCTCTGCTGAGTGGGCCTTTTTTTTCTGTCTTTTCTGCTGTAATGGTGGGATTTCACTGAGGTTGAGATATTGGCCTTAATGTGGATCTTAGCTGCTGCCTTTTCCCCAAAAAATATAATATTCAGTAGCGAGAAAACATAGATGAAACGTATCAGCAGTGATGTAAACATGAAAAAGTTCTAATCAAAAAATTCAAGTCAAATCAGAAGAACTAAAATGCATGAAGACAAAAAACTACGAGGCTTATTACAGAAAAAATAGAATAATGAAACTGTTCTGCAGCAATTGCCATGATAAAGTACAGTCAGTATATAAAAATCAACATATAACAATTAAAAGTTAAAGACTTTGTCTCAAGAGATGCTCCAAATGCAGAACAAGGAGCTCTGCTCCTCTTTGACCTGTGTGTGCCTGATGCTGAACCCAACAGAAATAGGAAATAAACGAGAAAATCAAGAAACGGAGAGAAAAACTGAATGAACAGTGGTTACCTATGGAGTGGGGATCTGATTCATAGATGCAAAACAGGTGAGACTAATTATTGGATGATAAACGCCTGAAGGAGAACCGTTAGCTATACAGATCCGTTCATCAAATTAGAACTTATTTCAAGAACTTTATAACTAATTTACACCTAATATGTGTATTAATTACATACAGTTGGATGTTTGAATAATTGTAATGATTTTTCCACTTATTACTCATGTAAGCTTGACATTTAAAATTAAAAATTATTCCATGAGACCAATAAAACACATTTAATTTGCTTAATGTGAAGTGGGTTGTCAGGTTTCCAAAGCTGTTTTCAATCTGAGAAATGAGCCTCATCGGAACGCATGTTCACATTTGATTATGACTGCAAACGAGGACCAGGAAACACAACGAAGGGGGAAATAAACTCTGCTCTTTTAGGCAAAATCTAGAGTACAGTTCGACGTCTGTGGGAGAAATTGCAGTTACCGATTTGTCCAAAATGATCGAGCTTAAGCTACTTCTCAAAGACAAGCGAGCAACACTTTATTCTGTAGATGTGCAAAACCGATAGAAAAATACCTCCAATAAACTCGCAGTTGTAGTTGCATGAAATGTGGTTCTGCAAAATGTCGTGTCAAATAATGATGCTCGTCACATCTTCAGGTCTTTACCTGGAATTAAAAAAAAAAAACATTTTCCTTCGGCTGCCCTCTTCTGTGCTGCGTTGTGTTTTTTGTCTGCTTCATAAAATCCCAATAAAATACGTCAAAATTTATGATTTCAACTTGAAAAATCTAAAAAACAAACAAAAGAATCATTATTTTTAATCTTTCAAGGGATTTACGTGGGATTGAGACGATCCGTGGCGAAGCAAAGCGGCCTCTTGTTTTAGTTTAAAAAGTCTCCCTGGTGAGCGGACTCGTCTAACTCTCTTTATTTCCTGACGCTCTGAGATTCATCTACTGTGAAATCACCCATCACTGCCGAGTCGAATAGTTGGAATAGGTCTGTGGGTTTCTTAGAATTGATAAATGTTGTAAAAAAAAAAAAAATGTGTGAATACAACTTCATATTTAATTTCCTGGAACAGCTGGCTCTTCAAACAGAAGTAAACAGTGAATGTATCGGGGGACTATTTTCATTAGTGAATAAATTCTCATCAGGTCCTCTAATTACTGCTCCTGGCAGCAGGGCCGCGAGAGCAGGGATGGAGTCAAAATAGACTTTGCTGCTTGTGCAGACGTGTGTGTGTGTGTGTGTGTGTGTGTGTGTGTGCGCTGATTGTGATAAAGGGTTTGTTTGGCTCGGTGGAGTCCTGTGGCTCAGATGAATAATATAGCTCAGATTCTCTTGCGGTGCTTCTTAATTAGGTCAGTTCACTGTTGGTTCGGGTCTATCAAGTGTTTGGCTAATAGTAGGAAAAAATATGAAACATCAACAGCCTCGCCCTGTGAAGAAAGTCAAAGTACTCCAGCATAAACAGGCGTCGGGATTAGCTTTCAAAAGATTTCAACAACTGAGAGAAGATGGCATATAACGCTACACTCATCATAACTTCTATTTCAACTAATCCTAACCCCATCCGCCAGTCTGTCGCAGGGCAACACAGAGACACACAGGACAAACAACCATGCATGCACACCTAGGGAGAATTTAGAGAGACCAATTAATCTGACAGTCATGTTTTTGGACTGTGGGAGGAAACCGGAGTACCCAGAGACAACCCACCATGCACAGAAAGTACATGCAAACTCCATGCAGAAAGACCCCAGGCCGGGAACCCAGAACCTTCTTGCTGCAAGGAACAGCTCTACCAGCTGCGCCACTGCGCAGCCCTCTAAAATACACTATTATCGTACTATTGTATCTAACAATAGTTTGTAGTTCCCTGTGTTGAGGACATGCAGCGGCTCAGTTGGACCGACAGGAAGCAGAAGAAGAAGTAGCATCTTCCCACATGATGACAGCGCGGTCCCTGCAGCGCTGGGCCCCGGAGAGCTGCAGAGTACAGCAACCAACGCAGCAGATGTCAAACAGCTTTTCCATCACTTTCCCGGGCTTTTAAGCCGACTCCAGCCATATGGGTTGCATCCATTAGTGCAATTGACTGTATTTCCTTCAGTGTACCCTTTGCTCTTCTCTCCTGACATCGTGCGCGGCAACCCGCTGTCAGAGAAGGCCTCCTAAATAGTCTGGACGGTGTCAGACTCTGCGAGGCAGAAATGTAAGAAGCCGCAGCTAAAGTTCAACCCACAAGCCTGGAGTTTCGCTCCCTGTAATGTCAAACTGTCTCTTTGAGTTTGTGAATGTGCAAAACTGTAGTAGCCATCCTCTCCCCAAACCCCAGGGCGGCAACGTTTCCCGATGTTTCCCTTCGGATGGGATATGCTTGTTGTCAGTTTGCCACAGAGATTCGCTCAACTTTAAACCTCTCTCTCTGTCTCTCGCGCTCGTCTCGATCAGAGCCATCGGACCAAAGTGTGGAAGAAACTCACTTTTTCATTAAAAGTCTGGAGGCTGCGTTGCTCCGTAGCCTGGGAGTCGGCGAATGAGCCACCTGTTTGACTTCCCTCTGTGTTGAGCCGGAGCTCATTTAGAGCTCCACGGCACTTTCCTACCCGGCGATAATAACGCAGCGCCTTAGTTGCTTCTCAGACCTGAGGAGGATCTCACCTTTCAAAGCAAAGAAGAACAAAACAAATCAGCGTTGACTCAAAAACATCTCATAAAGCCAGGTTGTTAACCAAGTCTTAGACATTTTCCTTCTGTACTTCTTGCACTTTTTATTCCCGGTGTTGGATATACAGCTGAGCTCACGTCTAATTTTTAAGGGATTTTCTACTTTTCTTAAAGCTGATTTTCATTGGCTGTTGAAGAAGAATGGTTATTGTTGTTGATATTTAGCTTAAATGTCATGAAGTAGGAAATCTTGAACTTTAACCTTTTAAATGATTGGCAAAATACACACTTGTGTAAAGATATATGTGATCACATCAGTGTCACTGCATGCTCTAAAAGTGCGACTATAAATCAGGCGTTATAGTCGCACTTTTAGAGGTTCTAAACTTGATATTTATTCATCTTTTTCCTTTTTCCAAAAGGCTTTGACATTCAAAAAGGTCATCTCATCTTTTGTTTTTATTTATTTACTTATTTATTTTAGATATTTGCCTCTCTTACGCCAAAACTCACGCCAGCTAACATAACATTGTTCTCTTCATGTGCTGGACCTTTTTTTCATTTTCTCTGCTTCTGCCTCAATCTTTCATCGAAACATTAGCAGTCAATAAGTAGTGATTTATCAGGCTCTCAGAAGCCAGTCCATGGCAGCAGTCAAACGTGTGTGTGTGTGTGTGTGTGTGTGTGTGTGTGTGTGTGTGTGTGTGTGTGTGTTTTGTTTGCTCATCATCTGTACAATTTCCTCCAATATCCTCAGCTTAATACCGTCCACTGTCGCTGTGCAGCAGCGATAGCATAGATTAGCCTGCAGCAAAGCAAGTCAGACACATACCGGCTGTTTAGCGTGGGCATAAAAGATACGGCCTCCACTAGGAGGCTTTCTTACATAGCTGCATTATGCTGATTTCTGATATGCCTTCAAAAACACCCAGCATACGAGCTGCTCTGAATATCGTTTTTGAAATGCATCCCTTTTTTTTGTTTGTGTTTCTCTTTTCTTGCTTTCTGTCCCTCTCGCTGCAACAGCAACAGCATCGCAGCCTCCGCAGTGTGTGCCTTCAACCTGAGCGCCATCACCCAAACCTTCAACGGGCCTTTCCGCTCCCAGGAGAATCCCCGCTCCACCTGGCTCCCCACGCCCAACCCCATCCACAACTTCCAGGTTGGTTTCCGGACGCAGTCTCTTCGGGGAGCTTGGTGATAGACACACAGTTGTCATTTCAGTTTCAGCTGGGCACAAGCTGCGACCAGAGAATAACATCTAATAGTAGGTCGCAAGCAAGTTTTAGAGGCTTATCTAACTTGCAAACAGAATGGTTTAAAATGTTCTTTTTTTTTTCGTGCTAAGCTGTTAGAAACAATCTCTTGTTCGATTTTAACGTTTCTTCTTTGCAAGTTAGATGAGATTCTGACAGACTGGATGAAAACCAGCAGTAAACTCTAGTCCTGTTGGATTTATGTCTTGGGTTTGACTGAGCCACTCCAACACATGAACATACCTTGATGTAAGTTGTCCTGTTGCAGCTCTGATGTGTTTTTAGGGCCGTCGTCTTTCTGGTAGGTAAATAATATCCATCACGACGCCAAGACTTTTGACGCCTCCAATATGTTTTCTTCCACAGTTGCTCTGTATCTCCCAAACATGAAAAGATTTCATGTTTCTGTTGTAGAAAAACCTTTCCATACCAAAACACCAGCACCACCATGTCTCCACAGCTTTGTCTCCAGCCCATTGGATGCGTTGCTCTCGAACCCTTTAAAAACAATCTGATTCACAGAACAGCTGTGACATTTACACAGAGATTGAATTGCACACAGGTGAACTAATTCCATCTGTTATTGTTGTATTTAATTTTATTTATGGGTGTCGGTGTACATGTAAGCAAGCTTCGCTTTTCAGATGTTTTGTTTGTCAACTTTTCAAAACCTGCATCGTTTCACAATGACGCACAAATCAGTTGTTGGTCTCTCTCATATGATCACAGTTAAATCCACATAAATAAAACGAAATGACCCACAAACTGATTGTTACGCCAGGAATAATGTATAAGAAAGTCTGATAGAGTTTCAGACTATTTATTTATTTAACAGGGGACTTTAATCACAAAGAAACAGTAAGAATAACAAGATCGTCGTCACACAATGTTTTTAGGTGTGCTTGTGGGGCTGATGACTGTTTTCCAGGGCTGCGTGTTTTAGATGTTTTCCTGCTTAAACATGCATGACTGAGGTGAACGGGCCATTAGCAGGATCCTGCAGACCTGGAGGAGATAATCACAATGATTGAATCAGATGACTTGGTGCGGGGACGCATCTAAAATATGCAGGACAGCATCATGTGAGGATCAGCATCTGTGGGTCACACTCAGACAGTCCCACACATCACAATTACGCTAAATTAGTTTGATGTCAGTGTAATGGTTTAGTCTGGCATCTGAAATTGGTATGGATGAAGCAGGTCCGTTGATGCATCTGTAATGGGGCTGCAGCGACAGCCGACACCTGAACTACGACCCCCGAGCCCCAGAGGGGTTGAAAAACGGGGCTTCGTGGATGCAGAGCATGGTCCAAAGACAGGAGAAGTTCATGCCGTCCAGCGATTGTACAGAAGCGACACAAGCATTTGTAATGTGGAGGAGAGGGGAGCGCTTCATTAGCAGGAGTGGCTAACACTCGCCTCGTGAGTCGCACGCGGTTTTTCTCTCTGCTTAACCCGTCTGTCTACTTTCTCATTTTAAGTGTAGTTTGTGGACTATTTTATTTTGAAAATTCATTCATTTTGAGAAATGTCAACTTCCTTCCAGCAAAGACACTTTACACTTGTCTGCAGTTCAGCCATCTGTTACTACAACTGAGCTACCAGCACCGTTCTGTCAAGCCAGACGTTGTGAGACGTCAGTCGGACTCGGTTCGCTTGTTTGTTGTTGATGCTTGAAGCACGCAGTACGGTGAGTTGTAGGTAACCAGGACAACCAGGAGAGTTTGAGTCGTACGAGTTTTTTCCTGTGAATCGAGTGGAGTGGATTCATTTGTGAACCAATAGAAACGGCGCTGGGGATGCAATATTTTATACTAAATGTGTGGGGGATCCGAAGGAATATTGTTCAAATGTGTAGGGAGGGAAACGTCATTCATAATAATTGCAACGCCCATGGGCAGAGATCACAACTCCAGCTTCTCTGTGAATGACTTTTTATGAACATCCGACCAGATGGAGACTCGAAGAGGAGCAGCAAAAGCAAATGAGGTAGATTAGCAGGGCTTGCCAACAATTCATGGGGTCGTCCGGCATATGTTGCTGCAGAAAATTGTTTCTGCTGCCAGGAAACGGAGCTGCTAGCTGAGACGGTTATACATGAGTCAGAGGTTCAAAGGTCATCAGATCCATCTTAAGACTGACTTACAAGACCTAAAATTACTTTTTAAAGTTATTTTAAGACTTAAAAGTCTTAAAACTTTTACATTTGAAGACTTTTAAGTCGTTGAAGTTACGTGGATTAATGCGTTATGACAATGTTTAATTTCTCTTTGGGACAAACCCAAACTGGTTCCCCACACATTAGATATGACATCAGTTTCTTAGAGGTACTTTTCTGTTTTTATTTTTGGAATTTTAGGTGATCCTATCTTTTGACCACTTGTGTTTTCCCATCTTGATGAGGAATTAAATCTGCTTTAATGACTACTTATTTTTTTTTCTAATAATTGTATTGTAGTTTTCTTTGCTTATTGTTGTCATTGTATTTGTATTTGTTTGTTTTTAGTGAGACAAATGTTCCTTTTGCTCAGGGACAGTGGATGGAAATGACCTATTTGCCTAATTCTGGTGCATAATGTTCATTAATGTGCATTGTCCCTGTTATCCATATTAATTCATTTAAAATTTCAAACTATTTTCTTGTTTGAACTTAATTAGATTGAGAGTTCTCCTTTTGAACTACAACAGAGGTCATAGAAACTGCATCAACAATACATTTCTCTAAGGTTCCTGTCATGACGGAGTCGTTAATTATTTATTGTTGCTAAATAAATGTAGTACAGCTACTTTAAATTATTACTAATAGGAAGCCTAAATGATTATGGGCTTGACTTTCGAAGCAGACTGTAGCATCAGCTCTGAACACAGCCGGTGGGTCTGGCTTTTGTAAAATAGCGTTCTTACTTTAAATCAGGGGTTTCTAAAGGGCTGCCAACATTTCCAAATCGACAATGTTCCTTTCCTGGCAGAGACAGAAACTCTAAAGGATTAATGCTCTTCTTCACTCTCCGTTCCTGTTATCTGTTATCTCTTGCTGTCTTGCAGCCTGAATGAATTTCAGATATCTCTCCACAGGTATTGTTTCCTTTAAAATAGTTTCAAATACAGTATAAACCATGTGATAGTTGATAGATGACTGATCTTAAAGGTTCACGTTTTTCACTTTCTGACTGGCTGGTCAATAGTCAAAAAAAAAAAAGGGCTGAAATAATTTTTGGTGCATCTCTGGTCTGCAATATTTATTTCACATAGTATCTTAAAAAATCAGAACATTTTTCTCAACCACAAAGCAATTTTTGCTACAAACCCTTTTTTTTCATCATATGTGTCTTTAAACTTACTGAGGATAAAAGTGAAATAAAAACGTGTTTATGATGAAGCTCCAGCAGCTGCATGGTTTCCTCGAAAATCAACCGTCAAGAACATGGCTTCGTACATTTATAATTTAAATAAATCTTGTTTTCTCGTTTGCTTTGCAGTCCTTTATGCATCTGATCTGTGTTTTCCCCTCTGCAGTGTGGCACCATAAACGACAAAGGTCCCAACGAGGGTTTGACGGAGCGCAGCCTTCAGGACGCGCAGCGGCTCTACCTGATGAACGACGTGGTGCAGCCAGAGTCCGTGGATCCTCTCGTCATGCAGGACGACGTCCGCTTCTCGAACCTGGTCGTGGACATCGTCCAGGGCATGGACACCCTTTTCCACGTCATGTACATCAGCACAGGTTTGGTTTGTCTCCGATCAGATTATGTGTTGGCCTAAAAGGAAAGCTTGACTTTTCTTTTTGTTTTCTGTTGTTTTTGTCCAGAATATGGCACCATCCTAAAGGCTCTGGCCACGCCCAACAAAAACCTGCAGGGTTGCTACCTGGAGGAGATGGAGCTGCATCCAGCCGGTGTCCGAGAGCCGATCCTGAGCCTTCAGATCCTGCACAGCGACAGGTCGCTCTTCGTTGGCCTTAAAGACAGAGTCCTGAAGATCCCCCTCGAGAGGTGTTCCTCCTACAGAACTGAGACGTGAGTAGAGCATCAAGTCTAAAACGTTCGGGACGTTGCAGAGTTACTGGATGCCTTCGTCCGGCCCTGTCACGTATATAAAAGACCTTGGAGCATTAAGCTCTTTAGCCTCAACCGTTATCAGTTGTATCTCCAAATATGAGCTTTAGAAATCATGTTAATACTTATATATAGTTACAGTTACTGTTTTCTGAAGAAAATGATTATGTTCTTACATAGATCAATGCATTTTGCTCCTGGGAAAAATCTTAATTATTGAAAAACTGATTGAAACCAACACACACACACACACACACACACACACACACACAGTGGATGAAGCAACAGATCACTGTGTTAGCACATTTTCTCTTTCTCTCTGTTATTGTCTGTGGAGATTTGGTTTATGCTTAGATGTTTGCTAACATAGTCTTCTATAATTTAGTAAGCATTTTGTTTAATTGTGTTTTTACTCCATGATTCTTTACTTTCCTGGTTCGTTTCTGGTTTTAGTTGTGCAGATTAGCCTCTCTGGTTTGAGCCTTTGTCTAAAACAAATAAAACCAGTTGAGAAACAGTCTGACCGGGATGGTTCAGCTGTTGTTACGGACCAGACATCTGCTTACTAATTGTGATCTCGCCCTTATCTATATTTTGTCACACCATAGCTTGTTGTTGTTTCCCAGGCGCCAGACAACCTGTCAGTTTTTGCAAAAGCTGAAGAATCTAAACGGGGCTCCATCTTGTTTTCATTGGGAAGTTTTGTTTTATGCTCCAGGTTTTCCCTGTGTTGGTTTGGACTCTGTTGGGAGTCGTGGTTGGTGTTTTCTTCTAATACATGTTCTTGACTTGCCTGGTCACTTTCACTCGATTACATATTTAGTCTCTTCTTGTGATTATCTATGCTCAGTTTAGTTTTCATTGTGTTTACGAGTGCCACGGCTGTTCATGCTTCGTTCCACATTCAGTTAATCAAGCGGCTCCTTTATGCCAGTAACCATCCTCCCTCTGTGTGTGTTCCTTCCCGGTTTGTTCGGTCCTTGTCAGATCTTTTTGTCATGCAGTGACTTCTTCCCAGCTGCTGTTCTTTGCTTCGTTGTCTCAGCTCTCACCTCCACCGTGACCCTGACCTCCACGTTCCACCTCAAAACATGGTGGCATTAGAATAATTACCAAAGACATTTGGTGTAATAACATAGGTGAATTTAATTATTTGTGAGATTTCAACATTTTAACGATTGTTTATCACTGCAATTTGTCAACAATACTTGATCAGTAAAGAGGTCCGTGCGTTGGTTACTCCAGTTTCCTCTCACTGCCAGAAGTTATGAGTCAGGTTAAGCAGTCTGTCTATAAAACACTTTGGTGTGAATGTGTGTATGATTGTTTGCTGCTTTGTGACGGACTGGCATCCTGCCATGGGTTTATTCCACCTCTCCACCTCAGCGAGAGACGGGCCTCAACAACCCCAACCCTCTCACAGACAAGCTGGCAGCGCCGTGGGTCAATTAGCAGAACTCCTCTTCATTAATAAGCTTACAGCTCATAGCAGCCTCCATAACTCACTTCCACATCCTGTCTTGCCGCTGGCAGTGCTGGACGTCTTTATCAAATAAAATCCCGGATCTGACTTTTAGAACTAGCATTTAGGGCCGCGCACTGAGGCTCGACAAAACGTTTCCATCTCACGCCGCCGTTCGGTGTTCGTGTTTTTAATCCTTATTTTATACATTTGGGGAGTTGATTTATTTCAACCTGCTCGGCCTACAGCTGAAAGCAATTAACTGTCTGCAACAGGGATTAATGTCCGGAAGACATCGCCGATAATCATTAAAGTCCTTATGGTACCAGACAAATGACGAGGGCGGTAGCTCCTTCGGCTCATTAGAGAAAATAAATTAGAAATAAATTTGTTGTGCTTTTGCTGTAATGAAGTCCAGAAAAGTACAAAGAAAATACTTTTTCTTTTTTTTCCCTGTTTGCCGGTGTTTGAAGCCACTTCTCAGACTGACAAACAAGAACGAGAGTACTCAGTGAATCTTCAGCTCCGCTGTCATTTATATGAAAATCCCTTTGCTGTGGATGAGCAGAGGAGGTGAAAGGCTCACTGGCTGTTCCTCCCACTGTCTTTGTCTCATCAGGTCTCTTGATCATGATCTGCAGCTGGCCTCTCAGCTTCGATTTAGCATACAAATAAATGCTAGATGCCAAATCCGCTCGGTGTGTATGTTTGCGTGTGCGTGCTCACGAGAGAAAGTCTGCCGGTTTTGTATTCGGGTTGGTCCTGGACGCATGCTGCAGATTGCCTTTTCTTTTAGATTTGAACTCTTAAAAACAGGGCCTAGCAGAGGCAGCTACACTTTGAATATCTATCCACAGGACTAGAGGCAGAGGAGGACAGCAATACGGAGACAAAGGGCATTAGCAGCATAAAGAAGCAGAGGCTATACAAGATAATGTGCGCTAAGATAATAAGAAGAGTGAGCCCTTAGGGGCATTAAAGGAAAAGAGGAAGAGATGGAGGGTGTAGGAAAGACAGAATGTCCTTAATCTACTTTGTAACATTCACCTCACCTGTGTGACTCTCTTGCACTTGCAATCGTTGAAATGCACAGCAGCTTAAGGCACGCTGCTCTTCAGAGTACAACAGATGTCAACCTGCCGATCAAGGTGACGGCTGATCGTATTTGGTCAGACTCAAAAGAAAAGAGATGGCTGGGGTAAAATCAGGAGACTGGAGAGGGGAAAGAAAGGATGGATGTGAAAGTGAAGCAACTCACTCAAAGTGTTTGAGTATGAACGGTCTGCCTCCTTTACTCTGACTCCTCTAACCGCCTCCCTATTAAGGTTACTCGTCTGTAGAAGTGACCTTATTAGATCCCTACAGTGAAATGTAATGTATTGTATAGATCTACTGTTCTATGAAGGCTTCAGAGTTTTGTTAGTGAACAAACATCATCCTAAAGACCAAGGAACACAGCAGACAGAGCAGAGAAATAAACGTGGAGAAGGGTTGGGTTATGAAGGCTTATCCTCAAGCTTTGACGATCACACAGATCGCTGTTCTATCTATCCTCTGGAAATAAAAGTAGTATCAGTCACCTTAAACCAACCAAGACATGACCACTAACCTGACAGGCCGGGGTGTTAATCAGAGAAGCAGCCAAGAAGAACTCGATAACTCTAAAGGAGGTGCAGAGATCCCTCGCTCAGACATCCGTCAGCAGGATAGCAGTTGTTTGGTCGCTCTACAAATCTAACCTTTACAGAAGAGTAGCAAAAAAACAAACCAAAACACGTCATGTTACCAGTTTTGTTACAAGCCAAGAAGGGGAAGAAGGTTCTCTGGTCAGATATGACTGAAGTTTCTGGTCTATGAACAGAATGCAGAGTGAAACACGGTGGTGATGCAGCATGCTGTGGGAATACCTTTCTTAAAGGGGCAGAAACAATTATGTGAATCAACTTTTTTGAGCTTTACATTATGTTAGAATGTTATTGCCTCTTTAAAAACATACCCAGAGTGTTTTGCCCTGATTCTTTCATGCACGTTTGAGAAGTCCTTTAATCTCCCATGGCAACCATTCAGCTGAGCAAAACGCCTGTGTGGACCTAGCCCCGCCTTCATTGATGAAGCTCCTCCTTCGAGCTGCAGCTTCCAAGTGTCTGAGCTTCAGCATTGCAGAGCACTGTATCCCACGACTGCCCCACTCGGCTCCTTCAAACTAGCCAGCAGCAATTAGCAGACACCTGGTGGAACATCAGCTGAGCTCATTATAGGAGCTACTTCTCAGAACGACACTGGTTAAAAAAAAACATTGTTAAAGTGTTAATAGAGGATAGATTACTTCTTGAAGGCAAAGTTTTAGAAAGAACCAAACTTTCTTAGAGACAGAGGCCCAATTTCAAGGCGTTAAATTACAAAATCTAATTTCTTTTAAGCCATATTTGATACATACCGCATTTTTATAACAACTGAAGGTGGCATAGTTACTTTATTGTGCTATAAAGTGATACATAATGCTGCCCCTCTAAGCAGGGATAGAAGATGCTAGAACAGGACAATGAAAACACACAACACACTTGTCTGGCGTTGTGAAATTTATGTTTACGTAGCATAAATCACCGATCGGTAAAGTTGCCGATACAAATCTAACAAGTGAAAGGATTAAAAACTTTGCATTTTCTTCAGCAACAGCTTTTTCTCGAAAGTTTTCCATGACACACACCTCACCCACGGCAGCAGTGACAGGGGCCGGTCTGATGTTTTCGGCTGACACCTCGCCCCGTTAGCTGTGACTTGTCAACATATCGTCAGTTCAGCTCCTTTCTCACTTCACCTGTTTCTCCCTCACCTTTCTGCTCCGCGCCGTGGTTTGCTTCGAGTCTCCTCCCCACTGCTGTATCCGCACCGCGCGCACTCTCCCAGAAGACAGACAAACTGCAGAGTCCCGGAGTCAGAAATCCTCATGTGCTCGCAGACCGCGGTGGAGAAGTGCAGAAACGCAGCCGACAGCAGAGCCCACGGTGTAGGCGCAGCAAATGACTGACGCACACAAACACACCTACGCCTGAGACGGAGCAGCAGAGCAGTTCACAGCCTCACTCTGAAGAGGAATGAAATGTTTGCAGACAGATAATGAACATGTGCCTCATCTCTGATAGCACACAGCTAAGGATGTGTTGTCAGTCATTGATGACGTCCAAAATCCTCAGCTATAGCCTTGGTGTATTTTGTACTTGCTGAGTTGTTAGATATATAAGATGTTTCTCAGAGCAATTTCACCAGACCAGAGGAGGTTTTTCCTTCTTCTTTTTTTTTTCCTTTTGGTAACGTCAGCTGCATTTTGTGCTGTAAGACTTACTGAGTTTCACTGAAAACAACCTTCAAAAGCAAAAAAAAAAAAGGTTGGTAGTTCAA